CTTTCGGAACATGCTTCACAACTCCTTGTTCAAGCTCTTGTTCTGTCCAGGCTGGACGATTGCAATGCTCTCTTGGCAGGTCTTTCAGCCACTTCTATCAAACCTTTACAATTAATCCAGAACGCGGCAGCAAGATTCATTTTTAATGAGCCAAAAATAATGCATGTCACACTTCTGTTCATCAATTTGCACTGGCTACCAATAGTTGCTCGCATAAAATTCAAGGCATGTTTGTCTACAAAACCACCACTGGCTCTGCACCCCTTTACCTAAATTCATTACTTCAGAGTTATGTGCCTCTAGAAGCTTGCGTTCTGCAAGTGAACGGCGTATTATTGTGCCATCTCAAAGAGGCACAAACTCACTTTCACAGACTTTTTCATTAACTGTTCCCTCCTGGTGGAATAACCTGCCCAACTCAATCCCAGCAGCCGAGTCCTTAACCATCTTCAAGAAACGACTAAAAACACATCTGTTCCACCTTTGTTTGACCCTCTAACTTTAGCACTCTCTATTCTAATTCTATTCTTTATAAAAAATAAAAATAAAACACTTGCTTTCTAATATTTTTGAATTCGATCTGTTTTCTTTTCATTTATTATACAATTAACAAAAGCAAAAAAGACCTCTAACACTAGCTTGCTCTATTCTTTTTCTATTCTATCGGTTTTCTTTTTATTTATTATATTATTTAAAAACAACCTTGCTACGTGTACTGCGTTAAGCTAACTGAGACTTGTTCTAGCACTTGCTCTTTTGTTGATTTTGATTGCTTCCATTGTCCTCATTTGTAAGTCGCTTAGGCTAAATGACTAAATGTAAAACGCGATCTGACCAGTGCACCTTGTGCCTTCATTTCTTGTAGGTCAGACAAAGAAGTTTTCTTCCACATGCATTGGACAGTTACGGAAATGTAGAGCATTATATAAACAGCCGTTTCATAGTTTGACTGGAGGAAATGTCAAATGGTGACAGAAATCATGTAAAGAAGAGACAGATTCATCCTTACCGTCCGAAAAGTCTATTTTGGAAAACTTGATAGTATCTATAAACCTATCAACTCTAGAGCCGTTATGTAAACGCCAATCAATGACACTGCCGCTGCAAATATGCAAGTAAGAACATTAACCTGAGATTTAGGGATGTCCAGTGTGAAACGGCACTTTATGAGTGCCTGGGATTAGTTGTTAACCCGGGGTAGATTGTGAGCAGTGGAGGAAGATAACCAAGGATTCCCTTTACCCAGTTGGCAGTTTTATATTTATACAATACATGGATTTTAATAAATGACCTGTCTCTCTGCTTCTCGTTCTCTTCCAGCATGGTTTTTAAGACTCCTCCCAGTTGTGCTCTTCTTCATCTGTTACTATTGCTCCCAGTTCTACTTTGAGAGGTTAGTAGTACCCTCACCTGCTCCACATGCATTATCTTTTCATTGGTTATTATTGTTTTTGATCTTCTCAGGCTGAGATATGCAAAAGCTTTCAAGGTGTACTTATGCTAACTACTGATTTTTTTTTCTTTACTTTAAGCGATGGAGGCAGCGGAAAGTACCCTCAGCCCACTGTTTCTCTATGTCACAGCTATCGCATGAAGAGAAAGTGGGAGAGCCTAAAATTGAAGTATGTGACCTCATATTCACATATGACCTATTTTGGGGAAACTACTTTGAAACTGTAGCTTACCGAGCTTGAAAAATGAAAAGTTTCTGTCATCATTTACTCACTCACATGTCATTCCAAACCGGTATGCCTTTCTCCTTTGTTTCTGTGGTACATAGAATGAGATGAAATACAGTGGAAGTCAATAGTAACCTAAACGTTTTGGTTAACAACATTTTTCAAAATGACATGAAGATGAGCAAATTATGAAATAATTATTTTTGCAAGTACAGCAGTATTCATCTGACGCAAAAACATTGAGTTTAATAGAATTAACACTTTTAAGTTGTCAGTCATTTTTGTTTCGTTTTTATTCAATCTGAGTGGTTCAAAACTTGACAACGTTTTTAGAAATACAATCTGAACAAACAAACAAAAAAACATGGCTGTTTGCAGTCAAAATTCCTATGGACCAACCATAAGAAAAGAATTAGAAAATGCATTTAAAAAAAAATGTTTTGAATAAAATCTATTTACCAGATGCATAGTTAATAACAAACACACACAACAATGAATGGATGAGTCTACCCTCACAGAAAAGTATATATATATATATATATAATAAATAAAGTCTTTTTTTTCACCAGAAGGCAGCAGTCTGCTACAAATACATGATACACTTCCATCTTTTGACAGTAGTACATTTTTGCAGTAGAATTTTGCACATTTGCTCATACAAATGCTGGTGAAATAGAGGAATTTACTGATAAAAAGATCTACGTAATATCTAAATGACCTAAAAAAAAAAGGGAAGTGCATAATTTTGTTGTTACCACTTTTCTACACTGTTATTAAATTTAGGTTTCATTCTGCATAAGTTACGCTCTTTCTGTCCCTGGTCAAAAATGACCACGAATGGCCAAAGTGTGACCTTTTTTGAAAAGCTTCGGAGGGTTAAATAGCATTTGAATAGAATTATTACAAACTTGCATGCTGCCTCTTGCGGATTGGCATCTGTGTTTTCTGTATTGTATTGTTCTCCGTGTTATTAGTGTACACAGCTGGCCGCTCGCTCCCCATCTGAGCATGCAGTCTCACCATGCTCCATTTGGGGTTTCACCTTTTGCTTGTATTTGTGTATTTATTCTCCTGCTAGAACACCATCAGATCCGGCTGCATATGCCGTAGTCTACTGGAGACCTTTAACAGTGTGCTGGACGTTGTTAATGTCAGTGAGATTTAATGATTTAACGATCGTCCCTGATTCACGTTGCTGTCAGATCTAGGAATTCCTAATGTTTCAGTGTTTAAACCAAAACTGCAGCTTGCTCAAAAGACAGATCAGATTTTTTGTTTGTCAAAAAATGAGCGGCCTACAAATAAACAGCTTATGAATTTCATGCCATGCTATTTTGTTACCAGATTTTGGATTCGATCTTTTTATCAACTTGGTTTATTTCAAACAGCACAGGTTTTGTATTTGTTTGTGGAACTGATTGATCATAGGGCTTCATTAATCTGAGCTCATGCACCTCAGCTTTTGACAAAATATTCCACAAATAATGCTTTTTTCACTCAAAAAGTGATAATATTCACACAATGAATATTTACAGTTTTTATAATGGATTTAACTTTACGATTAAAGATCTGGGGTAATTAAATCTATACATAAAAAAGTAAATGTCTAAAATGTATTTGAGTCTGTCTTTTGTTTCACCGACACAGCATGAGCCGGAAGACTGAGCTCTTTCTAAAGCTGGAGGATTTCTTCTGGCGGGAACATCTGTCAGCTGAAGCTCTGCCCTATGGTATTAAAGGCAGCGGTATGTACAGTTACTCCGCTCTCTCATAATCTTTCCTTTAATACAATGGTTAAATCTGCTGCAAAGTCATTAAGCTAATGCTTATGTTAAATCTGGCTTGAGGACATGATCACACAGATCTTGTTGCTGAAACCTCACATGCCCTCGAAACCTTTCAGGCAACATAATATAAAGACATTTATTTGTTGGTTCTGTGCTCGGCATGCTTTTACTGTACGCTGCTCATCACTCTGCATGCAATCCATTCATGTTGATACATTCATAATGGTGCACTTTGTTCAAATTCTTTCTTCTTTCTCTCTGCAGAGCTCCTGCTTCTGAAGGTCTTGGCAGTGACTTCCAGCTACACAATGCCAGCAAACATTGAGAGGTGAAGTAGGGCCGAGCTGCTTTCACGAGTATCTGAACTCAAGCACCCATAAGCTTGCAGAAAACCCATTCCTCAGAGTCTCTCATCTGCTTCGGTTGCTTATGACGTGTTGCAATCTGGCATAAATTACAGCATGTATTACAAATTAATTACAGTAATGCTCTTGCTCATGTTCAAAATGATCTTGCTTAATATATAATAACCATTAAAAAGACAGAATGACAGTCTTTTAAAAGGATAAGTAAAACCTAGCAGCTCCTACCCAGTGACGGCTGAGAGTGGCTCAATATGCACGTGTTACTGTGTGTGACTAAATATAAGTGTTACTCACAATCCTGTTACCAAGTTAGTTTAATTTGTACTTTTTCATTTAATCAGTTTTGTCTTTTAATTTTGATGTGTGTCTAATGTTAATTGCTAGAAAATAAAATCACATTGAGAGTTTTAAAGGAATAGTTCACCCACAATTATTTTTTTTTTAAAACATTCACTCACTCTCAGGCCATCCAAGATGTAGATGAGTTTGTTGCTTCATCAGATTTGGAGAAATGTAGCATTGCATCAGTGTCTCAGCAATGGATGCTCTGCAATGAATGGGTGCCGTCAAAATGAGAGTCCAAACAGCTGATAAAAACATCACAATAATCCACAAGTAATCCACACCACTCCAGTCCATCAGTTAATGCTCTGTGAAGACAAAAGCAGCATGTTTGTAAGAAATAAATCCATCATTAAGACAAACTTCAAACCGTTGCTTCCGGCAAAAATGCAATGCCCATAATCCATAATAACACTGCCTTCAGTGACAAAATCCATCTCCTGTTGTCTCTCATATCAAAATCCACCCACGTATTTGTTTAGAGCCGTTTTTGACTGTTTTTGCTCATAACTGATGCTTGATCTGTGCAGATTTCTCTCCTGATTCAGACGAGGTGAGTTATCCAGTGGAGAAAGCAATAGAGGACTTATATCTTGTCCAGAAGCGATGGTTTAAAGTTAAAATCGTCTTAATGGTGGATTTGTTTCTTTAGTCTTCAAAAGATGTTAATTGATGGACTGGATTATTGTGCTGTGGATTATTGTGATGTTTTTATCAGCTGTTTGGACTCTCATTCTGACGGCACCCATTCACTGCAGAGGATCCTTTACTGAGACACTGATGCAATGCTACATTTCTCCAAATCTGATGAAGAAACAAACTCATCCTGATCTTGGACGGCCTGGGGGTGAGCACATTTTTAGCAAATGTCCATCTTTGGGTAAACCATTCCCCTAAATTGTATTTACACATTGCAAAAATGGCCAATTTAATAGAAAATGCATAGAAAATAAAATTGCTTATATAATGTTTAGGTTCACAAGCAACCATTTCTGAACCTAAACACCTCATTTCACTTCAAAATACATTTCTGTGGCCTTGATTGTGTATCGTATTCATGGAAAGTGCTCTGTGTGTCAGCAGTTTAGATTGCAGGACGTGTGCAGTCATTGGAAACGGCTTTTCCATAAAAAACAGTTCACTGGGGGATATCATTAACAAATACGACGTGGTGATCAGGTAAATAAAACCTCCACCTCTGTTTGACCTTTCAGTGTTAATTGAGCATTTAAGACTCCTCCGATCTTTAAAAGAAGTCTCTTTTCTAATATACGTCTTCAGAAAGTTGTAGTTTGAGCTTTTTAGTTCATTTCTCCTCTCCATCTCTTGTTTTCCATTGTCCATTGAATATATTTTTCTTTCGATGTACAGCGTGAAAGCCTCTCCATTAGTCTGGCTTGTATTTTGCATTGTTGTTTTATTGTAAGTGTGTTGAGTGGCATATAATAGGCTCACTTAACAGTACCTCCTGCAATTAGAGCTCTGCTTGTCTCCCGTTTCTCGCCCTTTGTTTCTCGAGCCGCTTTATTGCCTTGGAATGAACAAATGCCATTTTATTTCTTGTAAGCCTCTAACAAACGGAGTGTGTTTTTCCATGGTCTCCCGGCCTCGCGTGTTCTCAGAAGCTAATCGCGGCGGGGGAGGAGAGCCGAGCCGCTTGACATTTGGTGTTGAGTTTCAAATCCTGATGCTTCGAAGTGCGACGTAATCTCATTTGTGAGAAAAAGGGAGGTTTTTCCTGCAAGGATTCACTCCCATGACAAATAACATGTAATGAGGGGGTTAGTTGATAAGGATGTGCTTTTAGTGTCTCGCTCCAAGTCCATGACATCCATGAAACTGTGGAGAGCAGGTATAATTGTAACACTTTTGTTTTTGTTCATTTATATATATATAAAAAAAAAAAAATATATATATATATA